ACGTTTCAGATCTTCAGAGAAAGATACATTGGCTCTAAAACTTTCAAGGTGAAGGCCAGGCACAGTGGTTCACGCCTGTAATCCCAGCACTTCAGGGAGCCGAGGCAGGAGGATTGCTTGAGTTCAGGATTTCAAGACCAGCCTGACCAACGTGGTGAAACTCCATCTCTACTAAAAAATACAAAAATTGGCTGGGCACCGTGGCTCACGCCTGTAATCCCAGCACTTTGAAAGGCCGAGGCGGGCACATTACCTGAGGTTGGGAGTTCAAGACCAGCCTGACCAACATGAAGAAACCCCGTCTCTACTAAAAATACAAAAATTAGCCGCCACCACGCCCGGCTAACTTTTGTATTTTTAGTAGAGACGGAGTCTCACCAGGTTGGCCAGGTTGGCCTCGGACTCCTGACTTCAGGTGATCCACCTGCCTTGGCCTCCCAGAGTGCTGGGATTACAGGCGTGAGCCATGGCACCCAGCCAATTCGAAGATTTAATATTGATTGATATGTCAATTTACCCCAAAGTGATCTAATGACTAAGGTAATTCCTATCAAACTTCCCAAAAGACTTTTCTGCAGAAATGAAACAAGACAAAATTTGCTTTTAAAGAATGTGTAGCCGGGCATGGTGGCTCACACCTGTAATATCAGAACGTTGGGAGGCCAAAGTGGGAGCACTGTCTGAGCCCAGGAGTTTGAGACCAGCCTGGACAACATAGTGAGACCCCATTTGTACAAAAATTTTTTTAATTACCAGGCCATGGTGGCACATGCCTGTGGTCCCAGCTACTCAGGAGACCAAGGCAGGAGGATTGCTTGTACCTGGAGGTTTAAGGCTTCAGTGAGTCGAGATCACACCACTGGACTCCAGCCTGGGTGACAGAGTGAGACCCTGTCTAACACAAATAAAAAAAAAAAAAACTTTATTTTAGAAAGTTTGTCTAGGGCCAGGCATGGTGGCATGCCTGTAATCCCAGCACCTTGGGAGGTCTAGGCAAGAGGATCACAAAATGAGCTGGCTGTGGTGGTGCATCCTGTAGTCCCAGCTACTTGGGAGACTGAGGCAGGGGGACTGCTTGAGCAGGAGGGAGAGGTTGCAGTGAGCCGAGACTGCACTCTTGCACCCCAGCCTGGGCAACAAGAGCAAAACTTCGTCTCAAAAAAAAAAATTAGCTGGGCATAGTGGCACACACCTGTAGTCCCAGCTACTAGGGAGGATGAGGCAGGAGAAGCCCTTGAACCCAGGAGGTGGAGGTTGCAGTGGGCCAAGATTGAGCCACTGCACTCCAGCCTGGGTGAAAGGGCGAGATTTCGTTTCAAAAAAATGAAAGAAGAAGAAGAAGAAAATGCAGAGACCAGGCACGGTGGCTCAGGCCTGGAATTGCAGCACGTTGGAAGGCTGAGGTGGGAGAATCATCTGAGCCCGGGGCAGAGGCTGTAAGTAGCCAGTCATGTCACTGCACTCCAGCCTGAGCGACAGAGAGACCCTGAGACCCTGTCTCTATTCTTTTTTTTTTTTTTTTTTTTTTTTTTTGAGATGGAGTCTTGCTCTGTCACCAGGCTGGAGTGCAGTGGCATGATCTTGGCTCACTGCAACCTCTGGTTCCTGGGTTCAAGCAATTCTCCTGCCTAAGCCTCCTGAGTAGCTGGGACTACAGGCGAAAGCCACCATGCCCGGCTAATTTTTGTATTTTTTTAGTAGAAATGGGATCTCACCATGTTGGCTAGGATGGTCTTGATCTCCTAACCTCATGATCTGCCCACCTCGGCCTCCCAAAGTGCTGGCATTACAGGCCTGAGCCACCACGCCCAGCCAATTTTGCATTTTTAGTAGAGATAGGTTTTACTATGTTGGCCAGGATGGTCTCAATCTCCTGACCTTGTGATCCGCGCATCTCAGTCTCCCAAAGTGCTGAGATTACAGGTGTGAGCCACCTCGTGTGGCCAGCCCGGTCTCTATCAAAAGAAAAGAGGAGGGCGGGCGAGGTGGCTTACACATGTAATCCCAGTACTTTGGGAGGCTGAGGCAGGTGGATCACCTGAGGTCAGGAGTTCAAGACCAGCTTGGACAACATGATGAAACCCCGCCCCTACTAAAAATACAAAAATTAGCCGGGCGTGGTGGTGGGCGTCTGTAGTCCCAGCTACTCGGAAGGCCGAGGCGGGAGAATCACTTAAACCTGGGAGGCGGAGGTTGCGGTGAGTGGAGATCGTGCCACTGCACTTCAGCCTGGGTGACAGAATGAGACTGCGCCTCAAAAGAAAAAAAAAGCCATTAGTACGTGCACACACAGATCACGAGGGTTACTACCTAACGATCCACGGCAGACGTCAAATAACTCAGACAACTGCACAGAAAGGGTGTAGCGCGTATGAGGAGAGCAGCTAGGGTGTGTGGGAGAATCGGGTTAGCCGGCAGCTTCCCACACGTCCAGCCTGGGCCATCTGCCCTCAGCACCTGTCCAGGGCAATTAAGAAAAATACTCTTTTAGTTATTTATGGCTTTCCTGGAAAGCCTGGATGTTCGAGCTGCAGAATGCACGTGATCTCCACTCCTTCATCAACTTCCACGTCTGCACCACTTCCCCATCAGAAGTGTCTCCAACAAAAAGCAAAACAAAGCCACCAGTCAGTATGGCCTATTAAATAGAAGCTTAGCGAGAAAGTGATAAATCTACCACAAATCTACAATTAGGGAAAGACATTAGCACCCTCCTCAATTATTATCGGACCAAGCAGGCAAAAACACAAATCAAACGAGGTTATCCGATTTGAACCACACAGTTTATTAACAAGCATGATTTTTGGCCGCGTTTATAACCCGCACTTGGTGCACATTCTTCTAAAGCACAAAAATTGGCCTCAATTGTAACGTTTTAGAAATAAATTAAAAAGACGCTGCGCAATGGCTCACGGCTGTAATCCCAGCACTTTGGGAGGACGAGGCAGGAGGTTTACGAAGTCAGGAGTTCGAGACCAGCCTGGCCAACACAGTGAAATCCCATCTCTACCAAAAATTGAAAAAATTAGCCGGGCGTGGCGGTGGGCACCTGTAATCCCAGCTACTCGGGAGGCTGAGGCAGGAGAATCACTCGAACTTGGGAGGCGGAGGTTGCAGTGAAGAGAGATGGCGCCAGGAAAGAGAGGGAGGAAAATTTCCCCTTAGATTTGGACTTTTTGATACAAGCGGATGCTAGGTGGGTGTTGTTGACTGAAGGGTGGATGAACGGCCCACGCTTGCCCGGCAGGTGACGCCTCCAGGTGGGTGCTCTGTGGGAGGGGGAGGTGACAGGCCTGGGGAGTGGTGAGCACCCCAACATTCACCCATGCAGGGACTGGCAGACACGCTCCCTACTCGGCAGCCCTCTGTTATGACCTCGAAGCCAACACGAAGGCCAGACCAGAGCTGGGCGCCCCTCTGTGTGGGCTCCTGGGACAGGCACTCTCCTGGAGGGGGCTCCTACCCCCGGCTGCCCAGCCCTGGGGGTGGGCGGGACAGAGCTCCTCCCAGAGATGGCCAGCGGGTCCGCACGGCCCCAAGAGACAAAGGTTTCCTGGAAGCCGCAGCCCCACCCCGCGGAACCAGATCCCTCCCCAAACTCCAGGAGCCCGAGAGCCGCAGGAGTCCTCAGGCCCCTCCGGGCAGGACCCAGGACCTGCGTGCTGAGCTCTGGGGAGCCGCCGCCATCCGCCCGGAGATGCCAGATTTCAAGGGGCCCGAATCCCCGGCTCCGTTGCACGGCCCTCGCCCCAGACCACAGACACCAACCGCCAGGGCGAGCATGGACTGGGGAGAACGGGACACCCTCCGCGAGACCCGCGGGGCCTCTCCAAGGACAGCCGCGCGGGCGGGCGCGGTCTCCGGACCGAGTTGAGGCCTCGGGGCCGGGGACGCGCGTGCACGCGTGGGATTCCCACTCGCTGGGGCGCGCGCCGAGGGCGCTGGACTCTGGGCTCCTGGCGCGGCCCCGCCTCCGCCTTTGCGGTGACCCCACTCGACCGCGCCCCGCAAGGGCGTGAAACCTCCCAGCCGCCCTCTGAGCCCCTTAGGACGGGTCCCGGCGCCCGTGCGCTCCTCCCGGGCCGGAACCGCTGCGGGGCCGGCGGCCGGGACAGGCCTTGGGGCGGCCCGGGGGACTCAGGGCCCAGGCGCGCGCTCAGCCCCGGCGACCACAGAAGCCACGGGCTCGGCGGCTCCGCAGGCTGGGCCGGGCGCGCCACGAGGCGGCGGCAGTGAGGCTCCCGGTGATTCCCAGGCACCTGGGCTGCGGGAGGAGACGAGAACCGTTCCGGGGCGACCGCCGCCCCCAAGGAGACGTGGCACAGAAAGCACCCAAAACACCTTCCTCTAAAGCCCCCATGGGCGTAGGGAGCCGATGTCCCAGAAGAATCCAGGAGGGCTTCCGAGAGGCGGAGCGTGGGGAGCTGTGGGGGGTGGGGTCGACAGGCGTGGGGAGGACGCGGGTGGGCGGAACTCCGGGCACAAAAGGCCACAGGGAAGGTGGGTCGCGCAGTCGTGGTGACCACGTGGCGGCCACGGGCTGAGGGGCCCACGTGCGCGAAGAGGGTGATGGGCGGATGCCTGGGCACCTCCTGCTTGCCCCGCGGGCTCTCGGTCACCCAGTGAGTCCAAGCCAGAGCCGGTGGCACGGGGTTGGGGGCTCTGGGAAGGCGGACAGAGGCTGCCTGAGGCCCCGGCCTTCGGGTCAAGTCGCGCAAGCCTAGAGCTGCTGAGAATACGACCTGAGCGAGGGGTGGGGTGGAAGGAGGAGACAGCAGGACCCCAGTGAGGGGTAGGGGGGAGAAGACAGCGGGACGCCAGTGAGGGGTGGGGGAGGAGGAGACAGCAGGACCCCAGTGAGGGG